AGAGAGAGAGAGAGAGAGAGAGGAGAGAGAGCCAGACAGAATAACAGACAGACAGACAGACAGACAGACAGACAGACAGACAGACAGAGACAGAGAGACCGACAAACAGACAAACACAGACACACAAACATACGAACAAACAGAGGACTGTAAGAGGAACAGCCAGGCAGAGATAGAGAGAGAAACACATGGTATCCAAACCCCAACTTAAACTCTCTTTGTTTAGCTGACAACTCGTCTATTACACAAACAACCTTACGTTCCTTTCTACTGTCTTTTAGGATCTCAAACTCAAATACTCTGGGACCGCAGGAGGTAAAGCCACGGTGAGCATAGGCGCATCAAGTATCTCTCGAAAAAAGGTTCCAAGTATTAAAGAAAAACGTACAACCGATCCAATAATCCTACTCTTTAAAAATTAATGGCCGTTCAGAACACGAACGGTTCTATGATTGCCTACAACAGATTTAAAAAGAAAAAGAAAGCACAATAAAAAATACAGGGTAACACCTTGGCAGGTGTGTGTGAGAACAACGGGAGAACCGCACAGCACGTAACTCTCAACTTTGATGTCAAGTAGGGGCCGCAAAATGTCGTCCTGGGGGCCTCAATTGGCCCGCGGGCCATGAGTCACTAGCTCTAAATTACCAAGACGAGAATGCGTAGTTGGCTCAGTTTTTGTTGTACTCGATTACGATGCGGATGACCCTAGTCCGAAGAGCTAATGGTGATTTCTCTAACGTGAGTTTATGTAACTGGCTGAGCCCATCACAGAAGAACATGAAGCTTGGAGACCAGGCCCCTTAGCTAACTTTTCAGTGATGAAACAGGTTTAAACACACAATGCAACGCTGTTTTTCAGCAGTTGTTAGTCTTACACAAAGTAGATTATAAGCCGGTGGGTTGTTTGGAGGTGTCATCTCAGACCCCTGAGGCTGACACTGACATGCAATGACCCACTAATCTCAACGGTTGCCAACTGCTCTGGTGCACTGTTCCTATAATCATGCTGCCCATGACTATAGTAGTCTTTGCCTTTCTACTGCCATCGTCCCTTCTAGCTTGTTTTCTCGTATTTCTTTTTGAAGCGTGTAGTGCCTCTTGTTTAAACCCCCTTCCCCCCTTCCAATGCAGAGAGTATTGGAAAATCCGCTACACACAATGACAGCCTCATGTTTCCTCACCACCTCGCTAGCTAAGTCACATCTGCCGCTTCGTTGGAGTGAGTAAATCTGCCTACTGGTGTGCGCACGTGCATTCATTTCGTTTCTCGTCCTAGTAGAGTGAGGAGTAAAACCTTCCACGAAGGAAACCATGAAGCGAAAGAAATCAATCCTTATCACGGAAAGTGACTCATAAATATACAGCAATTCTCAGGATAATATTACCAAGTGTATTATTGTCTTCTCTGTGCATATTGTGGTAATCTTCAGCTGTGAGGATTCCTACGTTTGTGAAACAGCAGCGTGCTCTAAGGATAGACTTCATCCTCTCAGGGGGGGCATCGCTGACTTCATCTGTTCGCCAACTTATTCCCATCCATTCTACATTGACATCAGGAATTGAGCGTCATCCAATTCCTTCTTGAATCAATTTAGTTTTCGAATTTAGCATTCAAGAAGGTTTTATTAGTGGCAGCTGTTCATCATTTTTATTTTTCAGTTTTCTTACGATAGTTCTATTTTCTTGTAAATCGTTCGTGGTTCAGTATCGGACATAACATAACACGAACCGTGAGTAATTGCACCATCGTCGGATTTCTGATTGAACAGAGAACTATAAGTTATTGATTAGGCGGAGAGTATCCTCGGCCTAGCGTCTCGTGTCCTCGGTGACCTTTATCGCCTCTGTAGGAACAGAAAAAAACATTTCCAACAAAACCACGCACTTTTAAAAAAGTGTTTCTGATTGGCAGGGTTAAAAGACAGAAAATAATATACATAATATAGGGATAACAGTGGAGAAAGACCTACCAGTGTTGCCTTCCAAACATCCGATCAATTATCTGTGTCTGCACGCATTTTACCTCCATCTCAACGTATTTCCAGTATTTCACGCCAGCCTCTCATCTTATCAAACATTTTGTGGAGAGCCCTTCACCCCCCCCCCCCCCCCTCTACTCCTTCCACACCCGAAATCTAGACGTATTCCCAGTACATCTTGTAAGCTTCTCATAAACTCAAGCGCATTGTGAGAGCTTCTTTCAGCCCCCTTACCCTTCCCCTACCCCACCTTTCCCACTGCCGGCAGCCACTTCCCGAGTCATGGGGGTGGTGGACAACATCCGGCCGTACGCTCCAGGCCTACGGAAGTTTCTGCTGGTCATCCTGTGTCTGCAGTCTGTGGCCGCCTCTCTGATGGTCAACTCGGTTGTGGCAATCTCACTCTTGCTCACCTTCACAGCCTTCCTGGTCCGGATCTACAGAGTAAATATTTTTCTCCCATTTTTGTTCCTTTGTATCCATGATAATGTGAAGGTAACTGGAGCAGAGGTAGACAAAGAACAATTTAAGTTACGTAGAGAGAGCTTGAACAGATGGGTTAGGAAAATGATTGGGATTTTTTTGAGAATCGAGAAGCAAAATGAGTACATTCTTGATCGCCGTCGTCTGGTTCAGATCTGGCACATGAAGAACAATGGGATTTTCGGCCAAGTATTTTCTAGTTTGTAAGGGCGAGTAATGACATGTCCTATGACAGACAAACGGTAGTTGTCAGTACAAAGAACATAGTAAAGAAAGTTCAATTTCATTGCCATATCATCTTTTAAAAAAAACAAAACCGGAAACAAAAACAAAAACATAACAAAACAAAAAATCCGTACCAGATAACTGAATACAATCCCAGCCAGGACGGCAAAGGGCTTAGCAAAGGATAATTAAAATTGCCATACTGTGTCTGCCAGGTTTGAAAAAACAACAACCCAAAACAAACTAGTTGACTTTTAAATTGTTTAAAACAGCCCACTACTCAGACCACACAAAAGTCTCAGTGCTCGGTGAGTATTGCCTACAATAATCATTAACTCTTTTAAAAGATGCAGCAAACATTTATACTTTATGCCTGATCAGCAGACCAGTGAAAAAGTTGCAGTACATTTCAAATACTCTTTCATAAACCAGAAACACGAAATTGCATTGTCCATAGTTTGCTTGCCTTTTAAAGCTTAATAATATAAAAGAAAACAGAATTGAACGATCTGTTTGAATAAAAAAGCTATGCTTCTTTTTCAAAGTGCCCCAAAGTGGTGTGTATTCAAGCGTTATTGAATTACCACCACAGGTTTCCTTAATGAGTTTATCCGCCATCATTGACAATACAGGAGGGAGTCAATATATATATATCTTTAACTGGCGAATAATCAATTTCAAGGCAGATGTCTACCCATTTTGATCTTTAATGTCTCAGTTTTATGCCCTTGTCGACACAATTTCGATCATGCAGGAGGCAGGTGTTGATCATGCCCGTCACGACCAACTCGGGTTGAAAGGAATACAACATCCCTGCAGAAAAACAGATATTCCCCAAAAATTCTCCCCAAACGGGAATCGAACTCGTGCGACTCGTAGCGCCTATCCGCTTCTCCACATACACTGGCGATGTCTACTTATTATCATCATTATTGACAAATAGATTTATTCTTTTCATTTTTATTTCATTACTCGGTCAAAGGAAATGGGATAAAATATATCATTCCGATAGGTTTTTGTAACAAATTTGTTTGTCGTTGACATGCTGATACTCGTGAACCTTTTATTGTGTTATAAGTTTTATTCACGACCAGCACACAGCGCACTCATAAAACATACAGTTGTCGACTTCTTAGTGTAAGACTCCACCAAACGTCATTTTAAGGGGGGGGGGGGGGGGTTACACGTGAAGGCTATCTCGCTTATTAGAGAACCAAATATTGCCAAATTTAGCACATATAATGAGCATAATAAGGAGTTTGAATATCTTCAATAAAATTTGAGAAAAAAAAGTTTCGTTTCCATGGATACGGTGGCCATATTGGATTTTGTTGACATGTCTTACGTTTTATAATACCAAACTTATTTTTCATGGACATTGATTTATTTTTTGCAAGCATGTTAGCAAACATTATATCTGAAAATTTGTCTTTGTTTTTTTCCTTAATGAATTAGTCAATTTTTAATCTATTTTTTCCTGAGGTAGTATTCATGTTTAAGAAAAATCCGAAAAAATCCGCACTCTGGACATCACCAATATAAATCTATTAAATATATCAAATATTCAACAGAGAAATTGTGTTTTGCATTACATCTTCTTTTCATTCTGTAAAAATTTCATGAAGATTGAACGAAAAATTGTGGATTTATTCAAAAAAGTATAGAGGCAAATCTATAGCGTTTTGAGAAAACGGCCGACAAAGAAAAATAAAATATTGACTTTATGAGGAAATAGTGGTGACAAACATGCTCGGTATGGGGAGAAAAAAGGCTTTTATGGGTTTTTATGAAATAGTTGTAGGAGAGGCAGAGGAAGCTATAAATGCCTACAACTCAAATTCCATAATTTTTAGCCGAATCAGGACTTTGGGGGTGTAGCCCCCCCCCCCCCCCCTCCTTTAAAAAGTGGCTTATGTTGGAGTCTGGCATGGAACAGACTTAAAGCTGCTGCAAGTGCTGCAAAATTTTTACCAAACCGAAACCGATCAGCGCACAACAGATTCAGATGAACACTTTTTAAAACAGATAGCTCTTGCTTCCCCGTCCGGACCTTGAGGTAAAGTTTTTCTTCATATCTACCTTGCGCTACATTTGTTATACATACACCTTAGGCAATATCATTTTTTCATATCTACAAAATATCAAAGTCATTCTTGCCTTCTTGCTGTAGAAAGCACATTTTTAATCTATTTTATCTGTGGTGTGTTGTCTGTTGTTGAAAACTTATTTTAGAACTATTTCATGTTTGAAACACCGTCAACACCAGAGCTTGCCAACAGGATTTTCAGTAATTTAGATTGGCGTTGTAGACCTAGAAAACAATCCCAGGAAAACGATTTCAGAAACCCAACTTTACCTGTACCTACTCCAAGTGTCCTCGCGTTGTAAAGTTCCTTACCAGCTGCGCCATGCCGAACTGTTTAATGAAATTTAGTACGCTGACAGCTGGATCAATACAGACTATAGGATTTCTTCATATTTATAAAACAGCATTGTCATTCTTACCGAAGAAAATTTATTCCAAGGTTTTTAAATCCGTAGTATAATTTGTCTACACAATAACGTTCCCTGCCTTATATCGTTCACAGATATAGATTAGTAATCAAAATTGTTTTTTAATGTGTCCCGCTCGCTCATATGACCTTATGCAGTTGCGAGCGCCGTAAAACTCTTACCCAAAAATGTTTTTGCTTTCCATAATACAAATGTATTACGTCACATATTCAATATGGTCATCTAAGGTAAACACATTTCTCCTTAAAATGCTACCAGTGTTCGAAAAAATAAAATCAAAGTTCCTTTGTCCAAAGGCCTTACTCCTTTCGTGATCGCCTTTAATATCATCTGCATCCTCAAATCTCTGAACACGAAGCATTTTTTCCATGCAGCTTTTTTTAAAGCAGAAAAAGCCTCAAGGAACTAAATCTGGTGGATAGGGTATTGTGCTCTAGCAAAGCCCCCGAAACACACTCTGTGCAATTTATATAGAATGTTTTCTTTTTTCGCAACTCCTTCTATGTCCATGTAAAAGCACATTTGGATGTGAATTCTACTTAAAAACATCGGTTAAAGATACACAAATATTTATTTGCAGTTTCCAAGGACTCAATTAGTTTTGGAAGTCACAACATTTTGCGGCCATTTTCTCGCTTATAATCATTTTACCTCTGAAACCAGGCAACCCCCACTTCTTTCAATCGCAAATACATGTACCTCGTCTTCTATTTAGGATAGACGGGTGGGTTTTTTCATCTAAAGCAAGACAGATGAACACGCTTTAATTAAGATAATACCTATAACTCCACATGCCCAAGAAACTGGCGAGCGCCTGATTCTACCGCGTCGGGACACAACTTTATTCATCCAGTCTTTTAGCACCAGTATTTTCCTTCCCTATAACTAATATCCCCGACCCCTATTTAACCTGATTGCAGTAAAAAAAATAAATTAATAAATGCTCCATGCAATAAACGTAGATATTGATTATAGATGAGATGGATTTGCTGGGAATTCGTATACTTTTGTTGGGACAGTAAACAACCGAGGGAAATCGAACACGAGCTGAACTGGCTCGCTGAATTTGGAGAAAAAAATGTCAAAACTTTGTCCCCCTTTCCATTTCTTAAAAAACCCTTTAAAAGGTTATTTGAGGTTCCACTACGCCTTTAACAAGGGTAGTGGGATCGTCATCAGGAACAATAGCGTGCTGGAACAGCTTGCCACCTCGCCTGGTCTACTGCAAGCCTCTTTTCCCATGTAGATCTAGTGCTGATGAGTCGCTTAATAGCAGTTACTATTGAGGGCATGCTGTACTGAATGTCCTGCCTTGTTAATTAACACCACATGATGAACTCGGTGAACTTAACTCTTTAAAAACGTAGCAGCAGACACATATCATAATTTATGATCAACAACAGACCAAAGGCATTGGGGCTGTATATTTTGAACCACAACACACACACACACGCACACACACACACACACACACACACACACACACACACACATCAAAACACGAATTTGTATATTAAGCAATATAACATGCTGCTGCCTGATTTTTAAATAATCTTAGGTAAAGAAAACAGATTTGAAATATATACTTGGATAACAAAGTTATGGTCCTATTTGAAAGTGCTCCAGAACAGGGTGTCTTCAAACATTGTTGGGGGACAAGAATGTACGAACTTAAAGAGTTGACAAGGTCGCTCATCGATACGCAGATATCCTATTAAGTAACATCTATTATCAGTCAAATACTCATTAATCACAAGTAACAGGTACATAAAGGTGACTTTCCTTGGCTAGAATAATATACTCTAAGTGTCTTTTAAGTACTTTTAGATCAGCGAGGTTTCTTTTTTCTGCAATAGAGAATTGCGGTTAGGTAACATATTAATACTTTTAACTTGTCAAGAGCAGGTTTCATTCATCTTTTTTTTTTTAGCACTAAACACAGACGAAACTGGGACCATTATTCATTATTCTCTTTAAAGTTAACACGCATCAAAAGAGACTGCTCTGTGCCGAGGTTTTCATCCGCCTAATCGTGCTCAGTACGACGTTATCAACCCCATCATTGTCACATAATAATGACAGAGGACTGCTGAGCTCAATTCGTACCTTGGCTACAAAATGATAATTTCTCACTAACTTATCTTTAGAACTTTACAGGGCGAAAGGAGAAAAAAAAATTCTACTATTACTCAGTGTGATTTATGGTGATAATAATATTTCTCCATTTAACCGTGCCAAAACGGGGGCTCTCGTGACCTAGAGGTTAAGGTGTTGGCCTTTCATTCAAAGGTCCCGGGTTCGAATCCGGGTAGTGACCGAAAAATTGTCTTCTCCAAATTTGTCTCCTTTCCCCTCCTTTCCTGCTCTCTAGCAATGTTATGTCGTCTGCTTTCGTCTCGTCGTTCTGCCCCCACATCTCCTTTGCCCCTCTCCCCTGGGCTCCTGATTCTTTCTACAGCCTTTCTACTGCTACTCATTGGGTTCTTCTTACTGCTGTCTTTCAACCACACCACTGATCTTCTGGTAGGAAAAATCTACACCTAGCCTTCTTGGACAAGGGC